TAAATAAAATAAAGCAGTTAATTCAAATAAGTCATAAATTACATCATTTAACAATTTAATCTAACAATCCAATTAATCAAACAATTTATCATTTAACAATTTATTCTAACAATCCAATTAATCACGCAATTTAATTAAACCAACAATTAAACAATTAATTAAAAATAACCAAGCAAATAAGTATAAAAATGCAATAAAATATTTATCAAAATGCCGAGACTATTCATTTAAAATTAAGGATATTATACAAGATGCCTCCCAAATTGTCTCAGAAAGACAAAGGAAAAGGTATTACATCTCCGCCACCTCCCAAGAGAGCTCGAACGACTATTACCATCCAGGAACCACAAGAGGATTCACGAGCTCCAAAGGACGAACCGTCTTCTCCCATTCACTCTTCCTCACCTTCTACTGAAATACCATCTGGGTATCCTTCAGTATCTGACATTAGGAAGGTTGAGTTTGCTCAAGAACACTTTTATAATGAGCATGCTTGGAAGGTATACACTAAGGTGTATAAGGACAGTCTGATTAAGTCAGAACGAAATGTGAATTTGAAGAAGCTTAAAGATAGTCCAGGGAAAAAACTTGTTGACTACATTGAGAAGCATAAGTGGCTATTCTTTACCACGATGGCGAATTCCTACAGTCCAGACTTAGTTCAATACTTCTACTCAAATATCCGTAAAGTTTATGACTCTTGATATTTTGAGGTATCATTGTTCGGTAAGGCCTATGTAGTTGATACCGATGTGATTGGCAAAATTCTTGGCATTCCCAAGAGTTTTTCAAGCACTGGCTACCGTCTTCCACTTGAAAATTCTAAGTTGGAGTGGGAAAATATTTGCAATGAGATATGTGTTCCAGATTCACCGAGATCTCTAGATCATATACCATCTCGTTATCTCACAAATGAGGCGGCATTTCTGAATTTGTTTGCTATCTCTAATCTTGGTTACTTCGGGAAGAAGGACATCATATCTTCAGATTGTGTAGAGGTATTATATCTCCTATCCATTGATGCCATGATACATCTTGATTCTTCTATCTATGGACTGATGGTAGCGCACTACAAAAGCAATACCAAGAAGAAGTCATCTCCATTCCCTATGGTCATCATGGGTTTGTACCAATAGTTTGAGATTCCTCTTCCACCCCATGCTCATCATATTGAGATCATGTCCAAGATAGTTGTTAGGGCTTTTAACAAGTCCAAATCCATAAGAGTTTCATCCAGGAAAGCTAGTTGGGGTGCAGTTACTTCTTCATCATCTCTTCCTGAGATTACTCAGCTTTTTCCGACTAAGCGGAATTTCACTACACTGGATGCCAATCTACTCTACTCCCTGATTCTTCAGAATCAGAAGGCCTTGATGGATGCTGTTCTTAATCTTTAGGAAGATGTAAGAATACTTTAAAAGTAAAGGACAGGTTGTACATCTGAGGATGTCTATAGACCAGCACCTCCAGATCCGTTACTTGTTGCTGATGAGGAGACAGATAAGGATAAGGAGATAGATAATGATGAAGATGATGACGAGGATGATAGTGGGAGTGACACTAATGGTGGTAATGAGGACATTCCAACTTTCATAGTTCTGTTTGCTGAAGATGATGTTGATGCTTGATTCTATATTCATCATTCATGCATCACTTTTTGCTTAGTTTTTACATTGTCATGACTTGATCTTTCTGGATATTATCTTTTGATTTCTGACATATATTAAACTGATTCTTGTTTACTCTGTTTTATTATTATTTCTCTTTGGATATTTTCATACTTCCTTTGTCAATTTTGTTCCAAAAAGGGGGAGAACAAGGTTACATTAAGGGGAGAAAAATTTAAACTTTTTTGGATAATTAATTCAGTGGGAGTTTTTAACTTGATTTATTAAACTTTCATCGGTAGTTTTGCTTGATCCATGTACAGGAATTCAGGTGAACTTTTATCCAAGAGCAGAAGAGAACAGAGATAACAAAATTCCGTATTTCCTTGAACAATTGTAATTTACTTTTCTGCTTTGGGTAGATTATTAAATTGTTTTTAGGATTTTGTCAAGAAATTGCCAAAGGGGGAGATTGTGAGATATATTTTTGTAAATTTGCATATTTCGATAACAAAACAAGTCCTAGTCGAGTTGTAATTTCAGTTACCATATCAGACTTGACATCGACTGCAGAATTCAAAGGTTGATCAGAAGAGGAAAATACTGTTAATCATCAAAAAGGAAAAAACAACATATTAGGACTTTATTTCCCACTTAGGACACAAATACCTATATGGTATATTTTCAGAGTTCCAAAAATACAGAAAATCCAAGTTCAAGTTGGATTCTGTCAAGTGGGAACCGGTACCTGTATTTGGGAACCGGTTCCAGAAACTAAGATTCAAGAACAACTTTCTTTCCTTTGTGAACCGGTACCAAGATTGGGAACCAGTTCCAGAAGTCCTGATTATAACAGGTTTCCAGTTTCCTTGTTCTGTTTAATTCATTTTTTATCCAACTTTCCTTCCAAGTCCTATGCATGAAATTTCCTTTATTTTCAGAAGGAATAGGACTTTGCAAAACCCTATATAAACCATGTCATACACATAGGTTTATTCACGGCTTTACATCATTATTCATATATTATAAAAATCCTTAGGAAGTTTATCCCTCTCAGAAAATCAAAGTTGATTTTTCTGTTGTCTTCCTAGAACACACACATACTCACCTAATGAGGTTAGAGTTGTGGTGTTCAAAATCTAGTCGTGATCATACAGTTGCGTCTACATCGATTAGACTAAAGCAGATCTTCTTCTAAATCAAGTTTAGACGGTTGAAGAACAGAAGTAAACGCGATCACACTTTAAAAGGGTTGGAGCATTCGAAGAGTGTTGTCTGATCTACCTGCTACTCTTGTACAAATATCAAGCATAAGCCTAAGGTCAAGTTGCTGTTGGACAGGGAGTCACAAAGCCAGAGGATTGCCAGCAGTTGGTGTTTAGTAAAACGATAGGGCTTGAGCCATAATCAAAGTTCGGTGTACTTTGTTTCAAGCATAGTGGATTGGTTTACTTTGGACTACACAGTCCGCTAGGTTTTTCCCATAACAGTTGACATATTTTATCAAATGAGGTTTCCTCACTAAAATCTTGGTGTCATCTCTGACTTTATACTTTGCTTTATTTTATTTGCATCTAATTAATTATTTAATTGTTAAAATAAGTAAAGTTGTTAAAGACACAAATCTGTTTTAAAATAATTGAAAACTTTCCTAAGAACATGCTGCTGCGTACAACTCACATTTTGAAATCTCTGAATCTTCAATTAAGCTCCAATTTCGATAAGATAGAGAACAAAACTACTAAATCACTCATGAATATATGTATGTTCTCTCAAAAATAAATTCAGAATAATCAGATTTGATTTTCTGAATAATATCTCTTTAGAGGCTTTCTCAAAATATTAAATTGATGTTCCTCAAAGTCATACCTCAATAATGAATGAAAGAGGCATTATATAGAAGTTAGGAAGAACTTATACACTCATACACCCATGTTGCTTTCATTAATGGATGTTATTTTTACATAATATACTAAATTGACCTAACATTTAACATTTTTTTTTCAAGGTAAGAAACATACTAACACACCTACTTTTACTCTTATGAAGATTTTAACATTGGACTTTTTACTTTAAAAAGTAAAAAGGTACCACTAAGTTATGCATCCCTCGGTGACCTAAAATTTAACATATTTGCTTGCATAGAACTTTTGATCAAATAAGTATGTATTATTATATATAATTTGTAGCAAAGAAGGTTCTTGAACCTAAAAAATGAATCAGTGACCCAAATAAGTCCATAACCCATATCAAACAAACTATGTACCATTTAAAGGAAAATGCTTCTAAAGCCCACACCAATTCGGTTGGAATGGTGAGTCTATCCATCACAGTACTTATTTAAGTTAAAAATAATGCTATATAGATTTAATAGTCTTACAGTGAAGTCTAGGTGAGAAATCCTCAAATTAAAGGAAGGACTAAAGTAGAAAATTAATTCTACTTTATGTTTTTTGAAAATTAAAGCAATTATATTGATATGGGAATGTTGGGCTTAAGATTGCAAAACTCAACTAACCAAAATCAACCAGACAAAAATAATGAAGAAGACTTGGCCCAAGTTGAACTAAAAAAAGGTTGCAAACACACAAAAAACTCACAAAGAAATTAATTTTCAAAGAGACTAGTTAATCGTAAGTCATCTTCAACCTTCATTTGCATTCGGTTAGAATAGTTGTTCCTGATACAAAAACATAGGGTCTACTTAATTTGTCATTCATAAAATAATTTTTCAGAACTCAAAAAACATAAAATTATTTCAGATAATTATAAATAAAAACAAACAATTATATAAAAACAAACCTTTTATAATGAATGTTCAGGAACCAAACACATTTTTGTATAATTTTTTAAATTTCAATTGTTGAAAAAAAAAAATTATTTTCAAGTGACAAGCCAAGCAAATCCATAACTTTCTCCGTGATAACTAACCTTTTTTTCTTTTTTCTTTTTTGTTACTACAAAAGTCACCCTCTCTCAAGCTTAGTCAAGATAACTATATATATATCCTTTTTGTTACAAGTCTGTGCCCACCAAACATGCATATTGTTATTCGTTTCACCGTTCAAAAGAAATTAAGAATGCAAAACTTGTGGCATCAAAGTGTTTTGTAAGTAGTCAACCAAACCGAAAGTTTAGAGCATTTTCACCTCTACTTATTAGTAGAATGTACTCAACCCAAATAAATTAATAAATAAATAGTGGTAGTATGAAGTTGAACCAAAACTTCAGAACCTCCTCAATATATACGCACCTCAAAATAAATAATCTAAAATTGGCATAAGAAGTTTAATGGTGGCGAGCTTCCCTTTCATAAGTATATATAGCTTCTAATGAAGATGAGATTTTTTACCACAATTTCAAGAACAAATTCAATAAACACCGTAGCGAAAGATGGATTTGAAACTCAGTATTAAAGCAATTTCTCTGTTTTTCGTGTTAGCACATGTTACAATTGCAGATGCAACTATTTTTGACGTTACAAAGTATGGTATAGGGCCGGGTGGAGAAATTAGTCAGGTGAGACCAATGCAGCATATATGGAACTCAAACATATATGCAATAACAATATATATTAAGCTTTTTATTGTTCTTTGTTTTTCTATTTGTTTTTGTTTAAAATCAATACTAAAATTAACTTGAATTCAGGCTCTAATTAGTGCGTGGAAAGAAGCATGTGTATCGATAAGTCCAAGCACAGTGTTGATTCCAGCAGGGACTTATAGTTTAGGTCCAGTTGCTCTGGAAGGTCCTTGCAAGGCTGCTATTGGGGTCCAAGTCGAAGGCACCCTGAAGGCCCCTTCCGATCCCAGCCTAATCAAAACTGACGGCTGGGTTGTTTTCGAACACGTTGATCAGCTCACCCTGTTTGGTACTGGAACATTTGATGGCCAGGGTGCCAGGGCTTGGAAAGAAAATGATTGTGCCAAAAATCCAAATTGCAGACAACTTCCCACTGTAAGATGAATACTTAACTAGAAGTACTCTTTGTTTTGTGGTGTTAACAATATGATATATATGTACGTACGTGTAACAGAATATAAAGTTCAACTACCTCAACAACGCATTGATCCGTGACATAACTTCCAAGGACAGCAAAGAGTTTCATATTACTGTTTTGGGATGTAACAATGTGAATTTTGTACATGTGACCATTACTGCGCCCGGAGATAGTATCAACACGGATGGAATCCACATTGGGCGTTCAACTGGGGTCAGTATTGCTGATGCACTCATACAAACCGGAGATGACTGCGTGTCCATTGGTGATGGGGGCCAACAGATTCACGTCCAAAGAGTGACCTGTGGACCTGGCCATGGCATCAGTGTGGGAAGTCTTGGCAAGTACAGAAATGAAGAACCGGTGGTTGGAATTACGGTTACGAATTGCACCCTTAGCAACACAATGAATGGAGTGAGAGTAAAAACATGGCGTGCATCCCCTGTTGGCAGTGCCTCTGATATGCATTTCGACAATATCGTCATGCAAAATGTTGGAAATCCCATCATCATTGATCAAGAATACTGCCCAACTGGCAATTGCAATAATCAGGTACTGAAAATAGAAAATTGTACAAAAAAAAACTCTACTTGGTTTTGTTTTCTGAAAACTCAATTATAAAAAGACCTATTTTCATATAACCATCTTTTATTGTTCTCTGAAGAACTGTTTTTTAACAATGTATGTGTTTTTTTTTGTTGTGACGAAGTACTAATACTAAGTACTCTTATCTATCCGGTGTTTTCAGCCTCCGTCACAAGTTAAGATCAGCAGAGTGAGCTTCAAAAACATTAGAGGCACTTCCTCGACACAGATGGCTGTCAAGTTTGATTGTAGCAAGAGTGTGCCATGCGAAAATGTGGAGGTAGGTGACATTAATTTGACATACAAGGGTCCTCAAGGAGCTGCTACATCCCAATGTTCAAACGTTAGGCCAATAACTTTTGGCGCGCTGAATCCAAAACTGTGCATGATCTCTGGCGGTGCTCAATATTTATAGTTGTTGTTTGGGGAGTACATATAAATTTTTCCACCCTACAAAAAGCATATGTTGTTCAAGGAGAATGCATATGTAAGTTATTTTCGCGCCGCTTTCGTGCTTAAATGCATGATAATTGGTAGGCGAAATTTAAATGTAAGCGGCAATAAAATCAGATTGTATTGATTATAGGAGAAATTTGATGTACCCCAGAACTGAAAATGCTACATCATTTATAAATGAGAATTATTTTGTTTTGTTACCCTCTGTCCAATGATTGGATTGAGATTATCATTTTTGTGGGCTGAAAAGTTGAAGCAATTGTATTGATATGGGAATGTACAGTATGTGTAGTTACAAGTGGACAGACCCAAAACAAGGATTGAACAAGGCCGTATGGCTTAAAAGAAACCAATATCAGCCAGACAAATGATCCGCTCTAAAAAGTTTGACAACAAAATAGCACCACAACAAAACTCTTTAAAAATTGAGTAATGGTGGGAAATCTCACAATCGAACAAATCGGATTAATTTTATATGAGTAGATGATAATGTCATATATTGTTATAAGTGACATTGATAACATCAGGATGTCAACCCCATTCATTTAAATTAGTCAAAAAAAATTGAATTTCGAACCCCAAATCATTATATTTAAAAATTAAAACTTATTCTAACAAATTTGAAAATTCTAGTTTAGAAGTTAAAAAATTTAATTTTCAAAGTGAATAGTCAAGTCATTGAATCATCGTAGAGAATTTGAAGGTAGGCTTAATCATTTGGTCAAAATTCTCCTCAAAATGAGAGAGAGGAATAATGTATATATTTGAAGTGAAAATGGGCTAGTGCCACGTGGGACTTGAGAGAGGAATAATGTATATATTTGAAGTGAAAATGGGCTAGTGCCAAATGGGACTTGCAGGCCGGTTAGAGCCTTAAGCGATCGAGAAGGCCCCAAAATTTTAAAAAAAATTTATATTAAGTTATATTATAATTATTTTTTAATATTATTAAAATACAAAAATTTATATTAAGCCTCAAAGATTTATATCCTAAAATAATTTATTCTTTTCTCTTTTCTCTTTTCTCTCACCTCCCTCTTTCCCATTTTATATAAGGTCTCAAATATTTATATCCTAAAATAACTTTCTTTTCTCTCTCCTCCCTCATTCCAATTTTATATTAGACATCAAATATTTATATCCTAATATAATTTTTTTCTCATTCTGATTTTGCATTAATTTCCCATACAAATTTACCATTAGCATTAATAACAATAAATTATTACTATTAACACCCCCACTATTTCTTAGTACATATAGCTTCAAATGAAGATTGGATTTTTTCATCACACTTTCAAGAATAAATTCAATATAACACAGTAGCGGCCAGATGGAGCTAAAACTCAGCATTATGGCAACTTCTCTATTGCTTATGTTAGCACATGTTGCAAATGCGGATGCAGCCATTTTTGACGTTACAAAGTATGGTGCAAAGGCTGGTGGAGAAATTAGTAAGGTACGTGAGACCAATTTTTTTTATTTTTTTTATTTTTTTTATCACAATGCATGCAATTCAATATATATATATATATTATGTGCTATAAGAACATATATTACGCTAAAAAAATTTTGTTTAAAATCAATAGTACTTATATATAATTAATTTGAATTCAGGCTCTAACGAGTGCGTGGAAAGACGCATGTGCATCTACAAGTTCAAGCACAGTGAGCATTCCAGCAGTGAATTATACGTTAAGTCCAGTGGTCCTGCAGGGTCCTTGCAAGGCTGCCATCGGAGTCCATGTCCAAGGCACCCTGAAGGCCCCTGCTGATCCCAGTCAATTCAAAACCGACGGATGGGTTGTTTTCCAATACATTGATCAGTTCACCCTGTCCGGTACCGGAACATTTGATGGCCAGGGTGCCATGGCTTGGAAACAAAATGATTGTGCCAAAAATAAGAATTGCAGAACACCTCCGACTGTAAGATGATATCTACTAATTAGAAGTCTTCCAAAATTTTATTTCATTCCTCACTATTAAGTACTAATGTTGTTGTTGACAGAATGATATATGTCTAACAGAATATAAGGTTCGACTTCCTCAACAATACATTGATCCGCGACATAACTTCCAAGGACAGCAAACAGTTTCATATTAACGTTTTGGGATGTAACAATGTGACTTTTGTACATGTGACCATCACTGCACCCGGAGATAGTATCAACACGGATGGAATCCACATCGGGCGTGCAAGCGGTATCAATATTACTGACGCACTCATACAAACCGGAGATGACTGCTTGTCCATTGGCGATGGGGGCCGACAGATTCACGTCGAAAGAGTGACCTGTGGACCTGGCCATGGCATCAGTGTGGGAAGTCTTGGCAAGTACAAAAATGAAGAGCCTGTGGTTGGAATTACGGTTACGAATTGCACCATTAGCAACACAATGAATGGAGTGAGAGTAAAAACATGGCGTGCTTCCCCCGTTGGCACTGCCTCTGATATGCATTTCGAGAATATCGTCATGGAAAATGTCGGAAATCCTATCATCATTGATCAAGAATACTGCCCATCTGGCAATTGCAATAATCAGGTACTTCAAAGATACTTCAGAAGAAAAACGACTACATTTTTTAACAGTATGTGTGTGTGAATTTTTTTTTTTTTTTTTTGGTGACAAAATACTAATACTAAGTACTTCTTGTCTATCCGGTGTTTTCAGCCTCCGTCACAAGTTAAGATCAGCAGAGTGAGCTTGAAAAACATTCGAGGCACTTCGTCAACTCGGATTGCAGTCAAGCTTGATTGTAGCAAGAGTGTGCCATGTGAAAATGTGGAGGTAGGAGACATTAATTTGACATATAAAGGTCCTGGAGGTGAAGTTGCTGCTGCTACGTCGGAATGTGAAAACGTTAAGCCAAAAACTTTTGGCACGCTGAATCCAAAACTGTTCTCGAGCTCTGGCTAGCTCTGCTCAAACTTCTTCTTAATTAATTCTTGGTTTACCACCATACAAAGAGCATATGTTATATGAGTTATTTTTCCGCCCCTTCCATGTATGACAATTGGTAGGTGAATTATAAATGTAAGTTACAATAAGATCAGAAAATGTAACTTCATTTATAAGTAGGAATTATTTTGTTGTAACTTCATTTATAAGTAAAAATTATTTTATTTCCTTACTTCTGTCCAATGATTGGATTGAGATTATCATTTTTGTGGGCTGAAAATCACATGGAATTCTGCCAAAATTTTAAAATCCTCCATTTATCTATTTACGGTGTGGGTAATGATAGGAAGTTTGACAGTCGTATAAATTTGATTAGTCATACTTTCGGACTCCAAATCATTTTTCTAGGTAATGTTGTAACTCCTTGAACTTTTTTATGGAGAATGTAGTAAAAGTAGTGTGCCTCTTGAACTTTGTGTGTCAAGAATGTAGATTGCAGAATCTTGACAAAAAGAATAGCTCCTTTGAATGTTGCTTCAAAAATAAAAAATTTAATATTAGGTATTAAAATCAAATAAGCTGAAACTAGAGAAAGAATAAGGATTGTGTGATGTTTCCGATTTTCAACATTTTTTATTTTTTATTTTTGGAATTTCGTTGATGCAAGGGTATTTCTGCCTTTTCACGTTTTGCGTGCGGAATTCTGGTTAGGTCCATTTGCATTTCATATATTTTAAATTATGTGAACTATGTAGTAATTGTGTGGTGGTGCATTATGTGGTGTAGAATTGCAAATAAAGAAAAAGAGAAAAGAAAATAATATTTGTGGGCCCCACCACTAACCATTGAATGGTCTAGAGACCACTCTTGCTTCTTATTTTCTCTCTCCCCGTTGGTTTTTCTTTCCTCCTCATTTTCTTCTTCATTTTGTTTTTATTTTGCAACAAACTGTGAATCAAGATTCCATCTTCAATACTTTGAATTTTGGAGTGCCGTTTGAGGCAAAATGGAGAGCAAGACAAGCTCTACGCACGAGTACTAACAATTTCAGCTTTAAGCCTCCCTAGGGATTTCGAATTTGGAACCCATTTTGAGGGTTTTGCACAAACTTGAGGTAGGGGTTCTTAATTCATGTTTTTCTTGCTCCTTGGTGAATTATATCTCATAAATTGTTGTAAAGCATGTTGATTTTGAATTAATTGTTCTAAAGATGATGTAAATGTCACATGTGAATTAATTGTTATGTGAATTGTATGAGAACATGCTTGTTTGGTTAATTCCTTTGTCTAATAGTTGATCTCCCATGCCTATATTGTTATAGAACTTGCAAGAAATGATATGTGATGGTATATGTAATTTCCTTAGAGTACTTGTAGAGTAAGCTCTATTGTGTAGTATGAAAGCCCTCATATCCATGACATTAAGAACATGAGATGTACATGCATATCATGGGACATGAATGGGGAGAATTGTTTTAAAATGAAAAATGGGGAATTTTGGGGAAAATGTTTTGCTGAATTGGTTTTGTGAAAACCCGGTCGCCGCGGGGGTACTAAAAGGCCGGAGGGTTAATATAGCTTAGAGGGAACTAGGGAGATTGCCCTAGCGTGGTTGAGTTAACTGGGCCCAAAATGACGCCGCGAGGGTACCAAGGGTCAGGGACACTAGTCAATCCTTCTCTCGTATTGCTGCGGGGTCACCAAAGGGCGGGTTATATTAACCGTTTGAAAGTGATAGTTTTGGAATGAAAATAGGGAGCGACATTGGCATGCATTACATTTCCTTGCATTGCATTGGTTATATTGAGATTTGTTATTATGTTGTGTATTCCCGACATGATATGACCCCATCTCCTATTGCTCTATTCTTTGTATGGATTTACAGGGACACAAGAAGCATGTCTTAAGTGCCACCTGCTGAACAAATTGTTCACCCCATTATATCTACATTTTTTTCAGGACATGGCAAGGAATTGGCGGATGATAATCCACCACAGAACTAAGGGAACTTGAAGAGCATTTTGAATGTATTTTGTTGAATTTGAACTTATTTTGTAGAGCATATGATACAAAATGTATCAAGTTCATTTGGTATGTAAAGGATAATGTAATTAGAAGCTTGAAATCCATTTTGATGTAAGTTGTCCATGATGTAAAGTCTCCATTTTAGCTTCCCTTTCATTTTCATATCACAGTATGTTAAGTTCAGGACCAAGACTCGAATGACCTGTTTCGGTCGACCGAAATGGGTCATCGGTCGACCGAACCAATTGCAGCTCTCGGGATCTCTTGTTTCGGTCGACCGAAATAGGGTTCGGTCGACCGAACCATCCTCTTGCTCTCAGTATCTCAGCTTCGGTCAACCAGTTCTTGGAGGTCTGCTTCGACCGACCGAAGCTCCACTTCAGTCGACCGAAGTGTACCTGTTTGGTCTTCTTTGTTCCTTCTTCCTTTGTAATCCACTCTTGACTTGAGAGAATTACTTAGAACCTTGGGAAAGCTTAATTTTTTATCCGAATGAGCATGTTTTGAAGCTCGAAATGATAAGTTTAACGTAGATGACCTCGGGTTCGAGTAAGGACCCGGCTAACGATTTGGACCTCCGAGTTCGGGTCGTTACAGGAATGGTATCAGAGCCTTGGTTCAAAAACCTATAGGACGACGGGTAGAGGGCTACATAGGCTTGCATAGGATGTTCATTGCATTATTTTTGTGACTATCTGTTATTTGCTTATTACTTGTTGAAACATGTTTAACTATTTATGTGCTTACGTGCTAAAATGTTATGTTAAAATGTTTCTTGTATAGTTGTGCATACTAAGTGTCGTTACGGCATCATTTCATGGAGAGTCAATCACAGTGGACCTTAGTGTTATGTCATTGAACTGTTTTCTCGATTTTTTTAGCACGATGTCACGGCGTGAGGAACCCAGGGAACTTGGCCCTAAGCCTACTAGGGGTGATGTTGGTGAGAGCTCCAGCTCCAATCCTGAGGAGCTAAATGATGAGGACACACTTCTTAGGGACTTGATCCCTCAAGAGTTGTCCCCACAAGGAGGGACAATGTTAAAGCACCCGTAAAAGTGGGTGAAGGTTCTGCGGCATTGGAGTTGAATCGTTTGTTGCAAAGTGCCTTGAGGGCAACAATTGTTGCTCAGTCGTAGTCGGCACCACAACCTACAGTTCAAGTTGAGGAGACACCGGCTCAGAAGCATCTTAAGACCATTAAAGGGTTTTCTCAGCTGATGCCGGTTATGTTTAAGGGCGGTGCGGATCCAATGGTAGCAGACGACTACATGGATCAAGTTGAGACTCAGTTAACCTCAATGGATGTGACAGAGGATCACTTGAAGATCATCCTAGCAACTTACAAGTTTGCTAAGGATGCTAAGCTCTGGTGGAAGTCAGTTACGAATCGGCATAAGGTGGAGGAAATGAGCTGGGATAAGCTCAAGGAACTATTCTCCGAAAAGTATTTTCCGATTTCCAAAAGATGGGAGCTAAAAGACCAGTTTTTTAGCCTTATCCAAGGCAATATGTCAGTGGCAGAGTATGAGAATAAATTCACTTCACTTTCTCGCTTTGCTCCGAAAATGGTGAGAGATGAAGTTGACAAGACTCGGAAGTTTGTTTCCAGTCTCCATGACAGAATGAGGCCGTTGATAACGGCACAGTTTATCAAGGTTTATTCTGAAGCAGTAGAGAGGGCTTTGATGCTTGAGGCTGATATCAAGGATAAGGATGCAAAGAGGGAATAGTGGAAGTAAAAGAGAGGTGCAGGGCCATCTTCAGAAGGATCTTCTTAGAAGAAGAATAAGGGTGGTTCATTTCAGTTTCAGGGACAGCAGTCCGCATAATCTACTCCTACCACACCTATGCCAGCTGGGCCTGATAAGAGTGGAGTCGTATGTTTTCAGTGTCAGCAACCAGGGCATTACAAGTCCAGTTGCCCCATAAGGTCGTCTTCAGTTTCTTCAGCTCCAAGGGTTTGTTATGGGTGTGGCCAGCAGGTCACTTGATTCGAGATTGTCCGAGTCAGGGAGCAGGCACTGGCAGTGGCAGAGGGTCATGACAAAGGCCGTCACAATTGGCTATAGTTCAGTCAGGTTTTAGACCACCACCACCACAACCTGCAATGTCTTCTCAAGGTTCACGATCCGTTAGGAGGGATGCTTCTACTATGCCAGCGCAGCAGTCCGGTATTCAGGGTGGCAGTTCTCAGGTACAGGCACCGCAGGGCCGTGTATTTGCACTTGCACCGGCTGATACATCTTCTGGATCGTCAGTTCTTCGAGGTATCTTTCTAGTGTTTGGTTCTTAGGCTCGTATTCTTTTTGACTCTGGTGCATCTCATTCCTTCATTTCATCATCATTTGCACTTGCATCAGGGTTAGAGGTTAGTTTTAAGAATCAGGCGTTGTGTGTTGATATGCCAGTTGGGGTTTCAGTGTCATTGAGCCGAGTTATGCGAGATTGTTCCATTGTAAAAGTCAGACGGACCTTTGTGTTTGACCTTATCCTCCTGGAGATGACTAGTTTTGATGTCATTCTCGGGATGGACTGGTTAGCTTTATTTCGTACCACGATTGATTGTTTCAGAGGAAGAGTCACGGTTTGCACTCCTAAGGGAGATTGTTTCTTTTTCATGGGAGATCGGAGTGATTCCCAACCTTCATCATTGTATGGAATCCGTGAACGAAGTCGTGGAGATTGTTTCTTGGCTAGTCTTCTAGCTGAAGAAGATAGTGTTGTGGAAAAAGACTATCTGGAGGTAGTTCATGATTTTCTGGATGTGTTTCCGGAGGATTTGACAGAGTTACCTCCACACCTAGAAATGGAGTTTATTATTGACTTGATGCCTGGTACCGCGCCGATTTCTATGGCATCGTATCGTATGGCACCAGTTGAATTGGAAGAGTTGAAGAAACAGCTTAATGATTTGAGGAAGTTGAATCATGCCACCATCAAGAACAAGTATCCTTTGCCAAGGATAGACGATTTGTTTGATCAGTTGAGGGG